GGCTTCTTTTAAGTATAAAGGCAACATACGTCTTTATGGCTTCTTTTAAGTATAAAGGCAACATACGTCTTTATGGCTTCTTTTAAGTATAAAGGCAACATACGTCTTTATGGCTTCTTTTAAGTATAAAGGCAACATACGTCTTTATGGCTTCTTTTAAGTATAAAGGCAACATACGTCTTTATGGCTTCTTTTAAGTATAAAGGCAACATACGTCTTTGTGTTTGCCCATGTCTCTTCAGCTACCTTCTTGGCATACTCCGCATCATCGGATAACAAGATATTGTCAAAAAGGGTTCCAGATTTCATCTAAAAATTCACTCGCTCAGTTTAAATTTTGATTATAACACAGAACTGACAGAAATTCTGTCTTACCTGCCACAACTCAATGCCCACACACTTCAAAATTGGGAAAACATAGAGATCTGGATCATCTTTGAAGTCTATAATCACAAATAATAACATATTAGAAAAAGTTAAAATTCGTGCATTATGAAGATGCACTTAAGTTCAGAGATGTTACAAACAGTACTGGATTATCAATTTTTGGAGCCTTCCATTTGCCCTTGTAGTTGGGGTTCTTAATTTTCTGGGCAATAAAAATAGACAATTTTATAACCACTCGAATTAGCAAAAGCAACATTTACAACACTAATAGAGACTCAAAAATGACCTTCGGCTTCCATGGATCCTTGTATTCGGGGTTGGCAATTGTTGGTGGTGTCCATTCACCATCTTCCTCATCATCCCAGTCCTCAGCTGCAATTGTAAACCATCATAATTGAGTAAAGTAAATAGTGTAGGAGATTACATAGATATGTAGTGAATCAGGAAAATTAGATTATATGCCTTCTTGGCATCAGGATCTGGCAACTCCTTTGGGATGTCATCATAATCCTGCAGGCATAATAGTTCAAGGGCATTATTATCAACTCACAAGTCATAAACATGTGCTCTAACGTTAAACAGAAGGAAGACCATGAAACTTTGAAGTTTGGTTACCTTAGGCTTCTTCAGGTTCAGGAATGTACTCCTTGTCATCCCAATCTTTGGGCTGTCACCAACATGCAGCAAGATCAGTTTCATTGAACCAATGGAAGAACCAAATTTTCATGTATGATTGCACAAATGAAATACCTTCTTGGCCTCTGGATCCTTGATCTTCTTTGGTGGGAGAATATCCCAGAGTATAAGCTACCCGACTGCTTCTCCACACTGTCAACGAGGATGCTGTAAGAAGCATCAGGCCAGAGGACAAATATACAGACATGAGTCAGTCGATCTGTCTCACATGGGGCTCCCCTCTTGATCAAGTGGTTTGTCCCATTGAAGGTGAGAATAGCATGGACTTTCTTTGTGCAGTAGCCACAAATATGAGGTCCAAACATGATGCTACATATGCCCACATAGTACAACCAAATCAGCAACTTCAACAGGGAGAATATACCAAAATAGGAAACAAGTCAGATGGCAATAGCATATGATGTTACCTGTAATGGAGTGTCACTGTAACGCCCCGAACTCTTTTTCATTATTATTGTTATTTTTAAATAAAAATGAGCTCGAGGTGCTACCAAAACTTTTTTTTTAAAATCTAATTTAAGCGGAAATATAACTTTTTATTTTAGGGATCAAAATGTGGTCGACAATTCAATAACGACGAAATAATGATTTAAAATAAAATCTTGAAATATCCCATCTCAAACTGTAAATTAAAATTCAATATAAAGTGTCAAATACTCGTACTATAAGAAAAATATTAAATAACATGCATATAAATTAAAATAATGATATTCTTTTAAATAAAATTTGAAGATTATTTTTCTAGAAACTTTACTTGATGACCCTATAAGCATCGCCGGTCAATTTTTCACTCGTCCACACGATCCGTTCTAATCTGAAAAGTATTGTAAGAGTGAGTATTTTGAAAATATTCAGTAAAAATAAGTGCATATTTTTATAACATGATATAAACATAATATGACATAACATACCGACATGTCTTAAATTTAGAGCAAACTGATCGCGATTCCAACAGCTCAAGAAATTTCTTAAAAATCCTCATATTCGTAGGATTTAATCATATTAACCCAAATGTCCATTCCGTAGGATTTAACTTCTTTTCTTTGATCTAACGGTCCATCTCGAAGGATTTAACATATAATTCGACCCGAAGGCCTTATAGTATTTCATGCCAAATTTACATAAATATCAAGGATAAGAATTTACCACTTGCACCATGTATTCTTACCTACAACGAAATTTCTGAAATATGACTTTGCAAAATAAAATGATACTCCTTTTTCAGAATACGTGTGTCAGTGTGTATAAACGTGAGAGTAGTAGTTTCTGTGCGGTAAAATGAGAATTTTTTCTTTCATATGATATATAAAGATAACCACCTGTATTCTTATCTATCACTGAAACGTCAAAAGTCAAGTTTGAATATTCAACTTGTAAGTTAATATAATATTTATTTCCATCAGCCACGTCTCATCACTCTGACGGTTGGTCGTCAAATTCAAAACAAAATTTATTAATTATTCATCATCTAAATTAAATGAATGATTTATGTTTAATGTTTATATATTAAATTATAAAACCATTTCAAATTCCAAAGTGCATGTACTGAAGTGAGGATATTTAGGTTTAGTTAACATACACGTTTCCCTCACAATCATATATCACATATTTCTAGAAAAATCATTATATATATATTGAATTATAACACTTTTCTTTTTACTGGAATTAATCGAATATGCCCAATTTAGAATCAATTTTTCTTAAGCCCAATTTATTCTATTTAGCACCAGCTTCATAGAAAGTATAATATTGATATATTTTATAAATTTTATATAATCTTTAAATAATCGACCTTAGATAAAAGTTACGATAAATTTATATAACAAAGACAATAAATCGTTTTTTTTTCAACTAGATGGGTTAACTTATCATATTAACCTTTAGACCTTAATGTGACAACAATGCTAGACATGAGCTATCTCATTCGTAAAACGATCGTTATTGATTTTTCTCCATATGAAAATATAATTAAAAGTCGGGGTGTCACATACCTAAGCATGTACATCCCTCTTATATGAGGTGTGAGATCCACCCAAATAAAAAATTTTATTCAGGTGGATCCCAGATCCCATGCGAGAGAGGTGTATACGCTTAGATACACTCGATTATGTACCATTAGCACCATCGTTATGGAATACTAGTGGCAGGTTTATGTCAACTTGTTCCTCGTCGTTGTTTATATATTTAAAGAATAATGTTATTCATAGACACTGTCAATCATCAACAGTCTACGAGGCAACCCACATTTTACTTCTTTGTTGTTACCTGAAACAAAAAGATGTGTCTATTTCAAAGGTTGATAATCCTTAAATTTGTTCCTAATGGCGGTTTATGATGTGACTATTGCATACAAGGATCAATGTCTTACTTTCTTGGATAACCTTCTTGGTGTGGATCCTTCCAAAGTACACATGCACATCAGATGTATCCCTCTTAAGGAAATCCCAAAATCTGAAAAAGAGACTGTTGATTGGTTGATGAATACATTCCTGTTCAAGGATCAGCTGCTCTCTAATTTTATAGCTGATGGCCAGTTCCCTCGTCAAGGAACAGAAGGTGAGCTTTCAAATTTAAAATGTTTGGACAATTGTGGAGTAGTGATTGCTCTTACTGGATTGTTCATATATCCTACCATTTGTTCATCCATTTGGTTTAAAGTGTACATAGGTTTAGCTTGCATTTACCTTGCTTCTGCTTCCTATTTCGATATCAGACCATCTCCAGTTCTTGGCACCATCAAAGAAATGTTGCAGACGAAAAATTTGTAGAATATGTTGACCTCCAAAAATGGCACCAACGGATGCTCTGTCTATTCCCTTCAAAACCTGCACACGTAGCACTCAGTCAAGCGACAAAGTTAACCGGATGAGAAAAAGGTCCGACGATGGTTTGCACTTACGGTCAAGTCAATGGCCGAACAAAGATAAATATATCGAGTGCAATAGTAGAAAGATGGGGGATTTGGTTAGAGAGTTAGACCATACTTTAATAGTGTGAATGAATCCATATATTTAGAGGAAATGGAAGTGAAGTGGGCCGAACGGGTTAGTGGGCCCAGCCCAATAAGGAGGTGATTATATAAGTATAATAATAGGCACCTTAGCTAGACGTCTTAGGGCCTCAGTAGTGCTTTGTTTGGCCTCTTTAGAGCCTCAACTTTGGGCCTAACTATAATGGGCCTCGCCCAGGTCCAATAAGATGGCCCCGTATGGGATGATAATTTATAGGTGTAACAATAGCCTCCCAGTTCATGGGTGAATATTTATGTCAGCCGTGGACTTTTTAAGATCAACTGAGTGTATGGTTGCTACTGCAATCATAGATTCAACTGTCTCTACCAAAACACTGACCCACAGGGGATGATGAGCAGGAGACGGTTTAAGCTTGTGAAGCTGAAGGTCGAGGCTCATCTTCGATCGAGGCGCTGACCTACAGGGGACGACGCATGGGCTAAAGCTTGTGAAGCTAAAGGTCAGGACTCATCTTCGATCGAGGCGCTGACCCACAAGGGACGAAGTTTGGGAGATGGCTTGAAATTTTGTAAAGCTTTTGCAACGCTGCAACCGAGACGATGACCCGTAGAGGATTCCATATCGGGATGATTGAAACTTTGTAAAGCCGTGGATAGCATCTGGTGAGGCGGGGGATAGACGTTTCGCGAATAACTCTCACTATCAGAGTTTTAGTAACTTGTCTCTGAATGACGAGGATTTAGAGCCAAGCTCGACGATAGTGAGAAGCAAGAAAAAGACATTTCGTGGAGCCATGAATAAATATCTAACGAACTGTTTAACGATCGAAATCTTATAAGTTGGCCTCAGATAGACGAGGATTTAGAGCTAAGCTCAATGATAGTGAGGTGGGGAATAAGCATTCCGTGAAACTAGGGATAAACATCTGGCGAACTGTCGAACTATCAGAGTCTTAAAACCTAGCCTCGAATAGACGAGGACTTAGAGCTAAGCTCGACGATGGTGAGATGAGGAATAATCATTCCGTGAAGCCAGGAATAGACGTCCGATGAACTGTCGAACTATCGGAGTCTTATAAACTGACCTCGAGTAGACAAGGACTTAGAGCCAAGCTCAACGATAGTGAAGCGAGAAAAAGACATCTCGCGAAGCCAGGGATAAACATCTGGTGAACTGTCGAACTATCGGAGTCTTATAAACTAGCATCGATAGACGAGGACTTAGAGCTCGGCTCGACGATAGCGAGGCGGAATATAGACATTCCGCAAATTACTGTCAAACTATCGAAGTCTTATAAGCTAGCCTCAGATAGACGAGGACTTAGAGCTCTGCTCGACGATAGCGAAGCGGGGTATAAACATCCAGCAAATTAGTGTCGAGCTATCAAAGTCTTATAACCTAGCCTCAAATAAACGAGGACTTAGAGCTCAGCTCGACGACAGTGAGGCGGGGCCTAGACATCCTGCAAGGCGAGGAATAAACATCTCGCATGGCCAAAAAAGGTTCATTTTTCAAGGGCAAACGCGTCTAGCAATTTGCCTCTTCCTTTTTCAAGGAACAAGGATCCCAAAAGATGTGCCTCTTCCTTCATTCAAGGAACGAGAACTTCAAGAATATTGCCCCTTCCTTTATTCAAGGAGCGAGTACTCTAATGTATCGTCTCTTCCCTTTTTCAAGGAATGAGGTCTCCAAACCCTGCATATGATAAAAAGAAATCTATGAGCTTTAGCTCGCCTTCATTAAATAAAGAATTCACAAGCTAGCCTCAATGTGCGAAGACTCATGAGCTTGCCTTCGCTTAATAAGAAACGACGATCAAGAGTACTCTAAATAAGAGAAATTTGAGCCAAGCATTCGACTAAAGTCATGGTGCATGCCGTTGGCCATTTCCAATATAGATGAGTGATAACAGGATACTAGTTCAGTGCCGGCAATCAATATAAGCTCCATTACAATGCTCTCTATGAAATTCTTTGAGAACAGTAATTTTGACAACATGGAGAATTGTTTGAACACCTAAACAAATCAATTGGTACAGTTGCTTTATAATTAGCAAGTAAAAGAATAATTTTGCAGTCCCAAAATCCTTAAATTTTCATAAGCTCTCAATAATATTGAAATCCCAGTAGAAAGTAGTAACCAAAAGTTTGCTCGAAGTTTAAATAGCTTTGCTAATCAAAATTGAATAACTAAAAATTTGCACCAAGCCTCCTTAAAAAATACCAAGATCAGGAGCAGTACCATGTTAATATCTTTGAAGAAGTTTTAGTAATGGAGTAATACCATCTTCAATATATTTCAATTACCTTTTTCTACCCGAAGAGGTCGCCCGAGCAGAATAAATAGAAAAATGGCGGGTTGATAATCATAAACTTGAAGTCTTCTTTCTCTATGGCTCCCTCTCGCTTGTTTATGTTCCCAAAATTAAAGGTGTGTTTGTTACCCATTATTTGGGAAGAATGTATTATGGATGGTGATTGATGTTCAAATGTGTGGTTAAAAAAGAAGGAAAAAATTTTGATTTACGTATAATATTATTTTAATAAAAAATGTGTGGTTAAAAATGAGTACTGTTAAAAAAATAACGGGAAAGAATGGGAGAAAATAGATTACAAACAGGGGCTAAGTATTTTGCCATTCTTCCATGTGATTTAAAATAAATGGCAACCCAAATGGAAGCAAGAAAGGGCCCAAAAGAGAATTAATGGCAACCCAAGTAGAGTAATCACAATCGGTATGCTATTTCTTCCCTCAAAATTTTGGGAAAACCAATAAAGTACCATGACCTAAAAGGAATAAATAGGGCCCAAATTCTTTGGACAGGTATGAGTGATGAAGCCCAATAAAGATAAATTATTATGACCCAACTTTGTATACACATTTGACCCAATATTCAGTAAAGCCCATTCACAAACCTTGTAGTTGGAATTAATTATTTTCTGCCATTTATCAGACTAAAAAACTTGCAAAAGTTGAATGGACAATGCCTTTGTACCAACATGCCACCATCACATCAAAATTTAAATTGACACATGGGGAAAAGCAGGAACTGTGCACTACCGTCCACTATGAAGCTGGCGGTTGACTTAACATTCGTTACCGGAGTTTGCAAAATCTTGCGTAGTTAATGTAGCCATAAAAAAGGGAAAAATGATTGAGCATTTAGTTGAACATTTGGCAGGTGAACGGTCGAATGTCTAATTTGTGGCTTGATTCTATAGCTAACTGGCGCTGAAGTTGGACTCATTTTTCTTCACCTTTCATGGTTTTCATCTTCCATTGACTAGAAATAGCCATTTCTCATGGTGGCATTCTCCAACCTAGGTTTCTTCATTCCAGCAATAACCATTTTCATGGCAGGAACCGTAGTTGGGAAATTCTTTTTTTTTTCAACGAGCTTTTCAGTAGCCATATCCCCTTCATCTTTGGTGGCTAATTTTCTTGAATTTTTGGTGGAGGAAACTATAAAGAAAAATCACTCTTTTTTGGGTACTGCCCTTTTTTCTTTTTTTCTCTGGTTGTTGTGTTGATGTCTTTGCTTTCTTTGGCAGAGAAACTGTCGGAAAATTTTTCAACTATCCGGTAACCCTTTTGTACGCGGTGTAACATGGTTTGTACCGTTTTTCACAGATAGCGTCAATCTGTTGACCTCTAAAAATGGTGTCAACAAATGCTCTGCCTCGTCCCCTCGAAACCTGCACACGTAGTACCGCGTCAAGAGGCAAAGGTGGCCGGACGAGAAAAAGGTCCGACGACGGTTTGCACTCCGACATTCAAGTCAACAGCCGGACAAAGATAAATATATCGAGTGCAATAGTAGAGAGATTGAGGATTTGGCTAAAGAGTTAGACCATATTTTAATAGTGTGAATGAATCCATATATATATAGAGGAAATGGAAGTGAAGTCGGGCAAACAGGTTAGTGGGCCTAAGTCCGAGCTCAATAAAAAGGTGATTATATAAGCATAATAATAGGCACCTCGACAAGCATCTCAACTAGACTTCTTGGGGCCTCGGTGGCGCTTCAACTGGCCTCTTTAGAGCCTTGACTTTGAGGCCCAACTATAATGGGCCTCGTCCAGGTCCAATAAGATGGCCCAGTATGGGATGATAATTTATAGGTATAACAAAATACATATTTATCTAAAATATTTCTCATGAAAAAAGGGTAATCAAACGTCATAAAATAGGAACTTGGATAGAAAAATGACATTTTCAATGAAAAATAAAGTCAACAGACACTAAAGTTCTAGATAATTAAATTGCCTATAATTTATTTGCACGAATTTTTTTAATCAAATGTGTTTGTAAAAATAATATTTGATAACAATTTGTTTAAAGGATTTGATAAGCCTCAAACGAACTAAAGAAAATAAAAATTTGTATGGAAAATTAAGAGTGAAAAATTCTACTCTCAAAACTTAACTTCTATAATTCAAAATTTTTGAGATAAAATACTATAAATTGAGCAACATTTTTATATTATATTTGGTACAAAAGAATTAATTGTTAATACATGAATTTAAACACCCATTAAATTCCCCTAGATACATGAAAAAAATATCCATACATAATAACTCTAAATTCATGTAGATCAAGCTCATCAAGTCAAGATCATTGAATCTTAATTAACATGAATGTTAATTAATTGATAATTAATCACATAAATTTTATGCATGACAAGAATTTTATATTATTTATTACATATTGAAAAACGAAAAGTAAGTTATCATTGAAATAATTGAATTGTATTAGGTTTAAAATCGTCAAAAAAATAATTTTCACTTTATGCGATT